ATGTATTAACGACGAACCTACTCAGATCAATAGGTGAATTCCATTTAGCCAGAAGTTCTACAGCAGGTGTTTATAACGTTGGCACATACTTTGCGATAGTATATATTAACTTATCTCACTATTGTCTTATCTTCAACATTTCACGAGTATCTCAGATGAAATTTAGTATTTTCTCTCTACCTTTGATGATTTAGATTATTTATTTGATAATTTGGGAACTCCCCTTTACGTTTTGTGCTTAAGTATTCTTAATATGGTTGTTTTGGAACTTTCCTAAATATTTAAAGTTTTTGTGTTTTCACTCTACATTTCATGCTTGTAAATTATTCATTTCGTATTTTCTGTCTTCATTTGTTTATTTTTTTACTCTCAACTCTTTTTATTTTGTTTCTATACATTTAATGATTTTAATTTTGGCCAATATATTTGATGAATTTAAAGTTGGTTTGCATTTGACGGTTTCTTACCTTCCCTGTATATTTGATGATTTTTTCACCCCTTTATTTGTCGATTTTATTTTGCTTTGTTTTACAAAGTTTTTTTTTATTTGTCTTATTTTTTTCCTAAATCTGATTGTTTTGCATTTAATGATTCTGTAGCTTTAGTTAATTTTATTACTGCTGTAATGTTGATATTTTTCCAGAAGCTAAAATTTCCTAGTACAACAAAACTTTACATGAAAAGGTCAATTTATAAAACTGGTATGCTAAGTTTCAGTTGAAACTTAGAAACGATAGTAAAGATATCATTAAAAACGTCCAATTGGTGTTAAACACTGGTGCTTTAGTCTGTCTTTAATTAGTATTCAATTGTGTAGAAGGTGTTGGTGATACATATGTTAATAGGTACACTATGGTGACACCGGTATCATGCTTAGTGTCATTAATGTGATGTACTGTCTATAAACCGCCGTAAAACAAAACGCAAACCTCTACAACCCAGTGCGTTCCAGTCTGAAACTTTGGCCACGAGCTAACCCCTTGTCGTGAAGAAGGTGCAATGATGCGTCAAAAATACAAATTAGAAATTCCACATAAAAGATGATTTCATTAAAATGATATGCGTAGTCAGGTTATATTTGCAGCACATAATGCTTCATTCCGATTACTACTTGTTTATAAATGAGGTGTTCATAATAAAGTTAAATTGACAGGTCAATGAAATTTGATAAAAGGGTAAGATCCGTGTGTCACCCCGATCAACTTCTATCCCGTAGCCAATGGAAAATAACATGCATCTTATGTATCCCACATGGACATCTCTATAACTATTTAAACATGTTTTTACAGATCAAGTAAATGAACGGCAATGAACGTTACGTGTAAAAGGAATCTGAAATCTTAAGTTGTACTCCATATCCTGAAATATAACATTCATATGCGCTTTAGAGCCGATGTTTGCGACCTCACACATTCAATTTATTGTTGGTTAATAGGTATCACATCGAAAGATCCGAACTTGAAAATAAATAAAAGAGACAGTAATCCTAATGGAGAAAAACATACAATTCAAAAGAAAATACATTATTCCCCAAACGGAAAGGACAATAGACAATCGAAACCAAACACGATATAAACCAGAATGGAGACGACAACAGCCGATTAAAACAACAGATGATATAACAACGGACGGAGAAGGCACCAATCAATTCAAAACAACAGACGATATAACAACTGTGAAGAAGGCACCAATCAATTCAAAACAACAGACGTTATAACAACGGATGGAGAAGTCACCAATCAATTCAAAACAACAGATGATATAAAAACGGACGGAGTAGGCACCACTCAATTCAAAACAACAGATGATAAAACAACGGATGGAGAAGGCACCAATCAATTCAAAACAACAGACGATATGATAACTGGTAGAGAAGGCACCAATCAATTCAAAACCACAGATGATATAACAACGGATGGAGAAGGCACCAATTAATTCAAAACAACAGATGATAAAACAACGGATGCAGAAAGCACCAATCAATTCAAAACAACAGATGATATAATAACTGGTAGAGAAGGCACCAATCAATTCAAAATAACAGAAGATATAACAACGGATGGAGAAGGCACCAATTAATTCAAAACAACAGACGATATAATAAACAACAGATGATAACAACGGATGGAGAAGGCACCAATCAATTCAAAACAACAGATGATAACAACGGATGGAAAAGGCACCAATCAATTCAAAACAACAGATGATAACAACGGATGGAGAAGACAATAAATAATCGAAAACAAAAGTGACATAACCCCCAAAAATAATGTTTATTATTTCTATAATCACAATTACAATAAAATAAATAAGACGTTGGAAATGGAATGGAAATTAATGGAAATTGAGATACTATTATTAATGAATTGGTGGAATAATCTAAACATACTTTGATCCCACAATGGTTGGTCTGAATTTTAAGATAATGGTTAATTATGTTTAGCTTGAGAGATATCTTGCATATATCACGAGTGAAGAGCATGTAGAGAGGTGAACATTTATATCCTCCTCCTCATTTTTGTTTGTTGCAAAATGTTTATTGATTATAACTTTTAAGCTTCACAGTTCAAGATAGATCGAGGATTAAATTTCCCTACGGTATGTAAGTTAAAATATTCACTTGATCGTATGTGCATAATTAAGCTAAATTATTCCAATTTCTATGCAGCGCTATTATCATTAAAAGGACATTTAGGATAAATTTGACCATTGACGTCAAGAGCAGATGATGTCTTTATTTCTATCGTTACACATACATTGCCATAAAAGAGGCGTGTTGACAGCCTCCTTGTCATAGCCTACGCATACAAATATCTTATACAAACACAAACATACAGACATGTTTAGACGGTGAGGGGTTTAATTATAACAAATCCTTACTTTTCTTTACTGCTATCAAATAAATCGAACAATTGTCTTAGTTCTATATAAGCCGCATTCTTCGATCTTTATCTACGACACGACCATCAAGAACAGCTTACTTCTATGTTTTAAGTTAAACGCGTGGATTTCGATGTTCCGATCGTGAACTTACTCTTTATTGAAAGTAACATCCCTGCATCCCCTGCCTATAATGTTGCAGTTGATAAGTAATAACTGGCTTGCTTCGATTATGGTAATTTCCGTCATAGATGTCATTCTTTTCATGTTACATGATATATTTTAACTGTCCTTATAATGTTTTGGTTACGGTTTTGTCCGAAATTATCAGTTTGACTTGGAAATGTTACACGTTAATAAAAATGTAACCAAGATAAATCTCCATCCTCTACAGGAAGCTTATCCCTCCTGTCTGCCTGATTATCCCCAGGCATACCGTGCATGTTTGTTTTTACTTCAAAGCGTCTCTGCCCCTAGATCTTTTCTTACTTTGAAGCTATTTTTAACCCTTTATCTGTTAGATCATACACCTACTACATGTGCAAGTATCTTTTAAATATGCAATGTTGTTGGTATATAAACGAAGATCTAACATTATATAAACCTCTTACATTTTTAATAGCAGCATTGACAGCTATAGACCCTGTCATAACATCACGATTGTTTAGATAAATAGTGTTGACGAGAGTGACCAATGAGTTAATTAGACAGTACTTTCTACCTAAGAAGCCTTATCAATGTTTAAGAAAAGTAACGGTCACTGTGGTTTTACTGAATTATCTGTTAGGGAGACTTGTAATGCTATGCCTTCTCCACTAAATTACCGTTAAGCTTTCGATAAACGGGACATTTTCAATCTTCCGATTGTAAACTCTCGCCTTTTTACGGTACCCTCCACCCCTGCTGATCTAACGTGTTAACAGGTCGCAGACTGTTCGGTAGTCAAGGATTTGCTCCTAGGAGATGCATTTATGAAGACTGATGGCACGTTTTATGGCCGATATCATTATCAAATTGGGAAATATTTCATTTCCTTTACGATAAGAAGGTATATTCTTACTTAACTAACTTTGAAGACGTGTCAGTAATTGGATTTGACCTCGATTTACAATGCTGAGGAAAAGACGCTTACCCTTCCGAGATACATTATTTTATTCTCCTTTTTCTTATGATGGAATGTTGTTCAAAATGTTTCCATGATTGTTTCGTAGATATATTCAAGAGTCTCACCATCTGCCCGGTTACGCTGTTAACGTCAGCATTAATGATGTTTTCTTCGCTATTTCTTTTACCTATAATAAATGGAAATAAGGTGATTAACACTTCTCATAGAATCCCATTAGATTTATTGTGACGTTAACCGGACATACAGAGTTAAACTGAATCAGCTGACTGTAAATCAATGTCGGCGGAGACGCAGATGTGGGACGAACACTTTACCGTGAGAGCAGTAATGACTTTGTCACGGTAGCATGCTAATGTCATTTTATTATACGTGTTTCTACATAGAAATATGCATTTTCGTGCTTAAACAGACAAACCATTTGTAGAATTAAATTGTATTTGTTTCAAGTTGTACATTATTTAATCATAAAATATACAAAAACGCCTTCTTTCGCTCCCGTTACATCTACTTTGAAGTTGTAGCGTGATTCTTGTTTCGCGTTATGTCACGGTCCGCGCTCTCTACGATATATCAGCTCACCACTTTCAGGATAAGTTTTGTTCACACTGGTCGTTTTATAATAATTTCAATAAGATCAATCTTTTCATGGAATACTGTTTGCGTGGGATTACATAATAAAACATGTTATATAGGTTAAACATCTAAAGTGCACCATCTTTGATATATGAAACACATTTAAACTCAAAATACAAAGTTTCTTAGAGAAGTGTATTTTATATTTTGTTATTTGTTTTTTACATTAAGCATTTTGTTAAAAATACAAAGTTTCTTAAGGAAGTGTTTGTTATATTTTGTTATTTGTTTTTTACATCAAGCATTTTGTTAAAAATACCAAGTTTCTTAAGGAAGTGTATATTATATTTTGTTATTTGTTTTTTACATTAAGCATTTTGTTAAAAAAAAATCATTAACGTGTTTTGTGTTTTCAAAACAGGTTCAATGGTTACAGAATGGAGGTCGGTGCGGGGTGTGTGGGGATCCGGCCTCTGGACCACAGCAGCACGACGATCATGGTCACTACGCCAGCGGTATCACGGTTCGCTCCTACAATCAAGGGGGTTCTGTTAACGTGACCGTGGAAGTGCTCAGTAATCTTCTAGGATATTTTGAATTCCGTCTTTGTCCTCGCAACAATACCAGTTTCAAACTTACACAAGAGTGCTTCGAGCAGAACGTGCTATGGATTGAGGAGTCCTGGAGTACGCGGTTCTATGTGGGCAGTCGTGGTGGTATCTACGACCTCCACGTCAAGTTACCATCTAACATTGCCTGTACTCATTGTGTGTTTCAGTGGAAATATAGTACAGGTATATTTGTTACCAGACTATCATATATATCTATCAAACGATTAGTATACATGGCATTGCAATCTCACGTGTAGATCATTCATATAAATATTATATGTTTTCTTGTTATAAACGCGCTTATTTGACGACATTACGGTCGGTACTGTAAACGTGTAGCCTTCTAAAACACTTTGGTTTCGCCTCCGTTTGATCAAATTTTGTTGACATTCCTTTTTACTTTCATCTTATCTTTGCATATCCGTGAGTGCTGACACTGTGGAAAGTTCTGCTATACTTGAAGGAGTCGGTAAAGCACAAACTCAAATGCATGCCTTTTTAAATACATATATTTAGCTTTTTATTCACATTTATACGGCCTCCTTTATTCTGCAAAATTACATTCAGTATTAATGGATAAGATTTACAAGTTTTAAACTTACATAAATTACTCTTTAAAATGTCATTCAGTTTGAATAGCTCTTTTTGCATTTTATAATTTATTCTGTGTTTTATGCAGTTTGATATTTTCGTCTGATATCTTGGCTCTTTTGTCACGAATCTGTAAAATCAAATAAGATAGAAATGATCAGCATTTTCTGTAGGATATACTGGTAAACATAATATATCCCAAGTAATGAAGGCAAACTTGCCCAGCGTCCTGTTATCTAAACATTTTTTCTTTGAAATTGAAGGATTTTTTACTTTTACTTGAAATGATATATTTTCTAATTTATTTTCGTATCCCTCCTGAATTAAAACTATTAAGTATAATGTTTTAAAACCAACGCATTGGTTTTCTTTACAAAGATATATCTATGTTATGTTGCAATAGCGTAGCCAATATAACAGTTTTGTCATTTTAAATAACACCTATTTCATGATTGGTTGATGAACATTTAGATAAGTCGTGTCCCGTACTTCATAGATCAGACAAAATCAACAGATAATAAGATATCTCAATAGCATCAGCAATTCCTTGTGTTTGACAACAATCTCTGCGAATATTACAAATAAAAAACAAACATACTTTCAAAAGCGTTTCTACGAAATGTATTTACAGAAGTCTAAGCAAATATAACCATAAGCAATAGTAAATGTACAATATCATTGGCAAATTTTATAATACGATAACCAAAACAACACAACAAACATTGCTATACAACACACAATACCTGTAGTCAAAATATCATTAGCAATTTCTAATGTAAGGACACGTGAAAAAAATAAATGTGATAGCACTTTTTGTAAAAGAAGCATTAACATTTACTTCAAATACTTCCATTAAACAACAATACATTTAACCTTCATAACAATTCTAATAAATTTAATTACAACAATCGCTACAAGCATTACAACAAACGAATGCTTGATCCTCTTACTCAATAAGCTACAGGGATATATGATGACTCTCATCATTATAGTGTTGAAGAAGAAGAAGAGAAAATACAGTTGAAGAAATTCTAACACAATATCATAAGCGAATGGCATTGTAAAAACAGCATTCATTAGAAACTTTTTAAACGAAAAATTTGAAACCATCATTACCTGAACAATCATGGTGTAATTACAAAAATCTCTCGTATTTCACTTTCCAAGTGATTCCTCTCTTGACATCTACAATATTTGGAAGCCAATTTGAAACAATACATTTACCGGAGTTAGAAAGCATACTGGTCATGTTAAATACGTCGGGAAAATATTACTTTAACCGATTATTATCGATTTCATTGAAGAAATACTTCATAATATAGAACAGACTGTACACGGTATAAATGTAAATTAAATCACTTGTTATATATTACCTAAAAAGTCCCAACAAACTTGAGAATGCAGGAACCATTGTAATATCGACATTACGTTATCAATAATATATTGTCAGATTCAGGAACTGATGTTATGGATGTAGATGGTTTAATTTGAATTTTGATATGTTTCTTTTTTGTAATCTCTATACTTTATACACAGGTTATAGGGAGATTTAATTTGAATTTTGATTTATTTGTATACTCTATACTTTATACACAGGGTACAGAATGGGAGGTATCAATCGGTGTGAATGCATGGGTTGTGGGAAACAGGAGCAGATCTACAACTGTGCTGATGTGACAATAACTCCAAACCCAGCAACGGCCACATCACAACCGTTTGGCTTCATACCGGTTAAACCTAATCCTACATTCTTGTCCTCACCTGAAAACCAGTCCTACATATTCCGACAAAGACTACGGGAACAGCAGCCTGTCTTTCCCTGGCCTAACGGACTACTCATTCCGCATAACATGATGGAGCCATCCTCCACGTCCAGAAGATACGAGTCATCCGAAAATAGACACAAAGACAATGTTGGCCATGCGGGTGTATTCGACAGAATGTCGTTGAATAGATTAAACGCTATAGATAATGTACCATTGCCCGACATAAAGGGTATTGACTTAAGTCGATTTCTCCCTGGCATATTGCCGTCAATAAACTTAACTGCTACCTTTAATCCATTTCCTCGACCACGGATAAATTCGACCGAATCATCCCACAACCATTTAATCCAGTCCAACATACATCATCACATGAAATCCATGCCATCTGTTGTGAACAATTCATCTAGACCCTCCCCAGTTAACCCAGTACTGGATTTTAGGAAGTGGAATTTTACAGAATATGCACCCAAGTCACCGGCTTCAGAAAGCAAAATTAGTCCCACTCAACAGAAGATCAACAACACTGGTTATGCATCCGGGGATTCTATACTTTATCCCCTCTTTACAAAAAGTCCTTCACTTCCTATGACAAATATAACATGTGACGTTTTTTCGCCTAATTTTAAATGTAAAGGGACCGGGCAACACTCTAACACTCCTGATATTGAAAATTGGTGTTTGGTGAACTGCCGAGCAGGAAATTATGTGAAGGATATATGTTTGTGTGGCTGTGGAGTTCTCTATGAGCTCCAGCGCCACCTGTGTCACGGTATTGGAGTGTTCGCTAGTATCCCAGGTATGGATATGTGGTGCAGAACGGTATGCGTCAAACAAAAATGTCCTGCTAATATCTGTGATGTCAAAACCTGTCTCACATAGGTTGACATTTATCAATTACTGTTTCCTCTTTGTATAACCTTTATGGTGATTTTAATTGTAAAAATACTTTATTTTTAATTACTGTATATCCGGAGATTTTCGCCGCAGTTTTATTTTAAAATCTTAAAAATTTGAATATTAAAATCAAAGGTTTAGATGAACGGTTCAGTTATCTGTGTGTTAGTCGTATGGAACTTGTGTTAATCATATTCTGCACATTTATTGTATGTACCTAGTGAAATAGTGTTGCTGCTAAATACATTGGATATCAATGCATTTTAATTATATATATATTCTATATTCTATTGTTTTAAGTGAGCTTTATCTGCTGATGCTTCTTAATAGAACAGGACCAGTTAACGTTTTTAAATATTATGTATTTTTTTAATATCTAAGAAATCACATCACGCAACATATTTAGAAAGAAGTTGTGTATGTTGTTTTGCTTGCTTTGTTATTTGAAATTATATCAAATGCTTATTTTGAAATTGTTCAATGCTGCAAATTGAGTACAAATTTCGAGCTATATATCATATATGTTATTTATATAAATTCCGTATTTTCACGACGCAGAAATGAAAGAACACTTGTATTTGTTGTTTCATCTGTGTTATGTATAATTCATGAAAAAAGGTTCCTGTATTTCACCAGATACACATATTTAAAGAGGGTTCCTGCTAATACGATCTAATAACATCTATCTTATTCCGAGTTATTTCTTCTCTTTAACCAATTTAACAACATAGATTACAGTTACACAACAGATAAAAATTTAAATAAGACAACAACACACCAAAATCATTCAGACTACAATACTGATACACGATAGCGATGAACCTAAATAGGTCTACAACCTAAATCAGACCAAACCACACTGGTACAAGACAGAGATAAACTGTAGTTAGATAACAACACAAAGGTACAAGACAGAGATAAACTTAATTCAGACCAAACCACACCGGTCCAAGAGAGATAAACTTAAATCAGACAAAAACACAGATATAAACTTAAATCAGACCAAAACATACTGATACAATACAGAGATAAACTTATATAAGACCAAACCACACCGGTACAAGACAGAGATAAACTTAAATTAGACCAAAACACATCGGTACACGACAGAGATAAACTTAAATCAGCCCAAAACACATCGGTACACGACAGAGATAAACTTAAATCAGCCAAAAACACATCGGAACCAGACAGAGATAAACTTAAATCAGACCAAACCACACCTGTACAAGACAGAGATAAACTTTAATCAGACTAAACCACACCTGTACAAGACAGAGATAAACTTTAAGCAGACTAAACCACATCGGAACAAGACAGAGATAAACTTTAATCAGACAAAAACACAGAGATAAACTTAAATCAGACCAAAACATACCGATACAAGACAGAGATAAACTGAAGTTAGATAACAACACATCGGTACACGACAGATATTAACCTAAATCAGACAGAAACACAGAGATAAACAAAAATAAGACTACAAAACACAGATGAACATAAATTGGACCACAACACACTTTTTTTAAAGATGAAAGTTTCTTTGGTCCTGTAACTAAAATAAGCAATGTTTTGTATTTGTTCAACCAATAGGAATTCGGTCTCGATAGCATTTTACCCGAGGTGAGATACAGTTCAGAAAGTGTAGCTTCAGTACAAACCCCTTTTAAATACCTTCACATCAATATCTCTATAAATAAGTACTTGTTATATAGACTTTTCTTTTGGATATAAAGCAAATCTAAATACAATAGACTAAATGCCAAAATGCATCTGATAGAAAGATTTGCATTTTTTTTCCCGGGTCCAATTGTTATTGTTTCCTTCCAAAAGTTGCAAGTTGCGAGTAACAGTTATTTGTTAATGGTTCTGACACAGATTTGTTAGGGTTGGGTTTAATTTTATTTAATTTGATAATGGTGACGTCATTTAAAAAAATAATAATCCGTATGCAACAACAGGTGTACCGACAGCTGTTTAATTATATCAGATTGTGAAGGATAAGTACTATTGACACTCTCAAAATATAACTGTATGACATCATCATCATACATACAATCGTATCTTGTCAGGTGTTCACAGGTATAACAGTCATACATACTAATACACCCTAGTTACTCACTAATATCACAAATACACTGGTACAGTAGTCTTTGTCCAAGTACATGCACTGCACACCGCGATGAGATCCATCACCTTTGATAGATACATATACGCCCTAATGTATATTGTCACTAATTACTGTCTCCACTTATTAATTATTGACGGTGCCTAAAATTACGTATTTAAACTTGAGATCGCGTACCTGATGCAAAATATAACGTGACTGTGCACATACATTGAACAGAGAATACACGTGTATTGACTGAGTATTAAAGTACATTGAACAGAGAGTACACGTGCATTGACTGAGTATTAAAGTACATCGAACAGAGAGTACACGTACATTGACTGAGTATACGAATATACTGAACAGACTATACAAATACACTGAACAGAAAATACACGTGCATTGACTGAGTATACAAAAACATTGAACAGAGTATACAAATGCATTGAACAGTATAAACGCATACACTGAACAGAGTATGCACATACATAAAACAGAAAATGCACGTGCATTGACAGAGTATACAAATACATTGAACAGAGTAAACAAATACATTGAACAGAGTATACACATACATTGAACAGTATAAACGCAAACATTGAACAGAGTGTGTACATACATTGAACAGAGAAAACACGTCCATTGATTGAGTATACACATACATTGAACATAGTAAACAAATACATTGAACAGAGTATACAAATACATTGAACAGTGTAAACGCATACACTGAGCAGAGTATAATATTACATTGAACAGGGTATATGTATACATTGAACAGAGTATACACATACATTGAACAGAGTATACACATACATTTAACAGAGTATACACAGACATTGAACAGAGTATACACAGACATTGAACAGAGTATACACATACATTGAACGGAGTATACACATACATTGAACAGAGTATACACATACATTGAACAGAGTATACACATACACTGAACAGAGTATACACATACATTGAACAGAGTATACACATACATTGAACAGAGTATAATAATACATTGAACGGAGTATACACATACACTGAGCGGAATTTACACATACATTGTAATAGTCTTCAGGTACATTGAACGGAATATGTACGTATTTTGAACTGATAAAATGAATATGAGTTAGAATTTCCAACCTTGAGAAAGGCTATGATCCGTCAACCAGAATATGTGGATTTTCACGTAATTATTGTCAGATTGACACTGTATAATAGAAGGCACGTGTGCATCATTTAAGTTGAACTTTTATCATGTTGCATTTGTATCTGAAACCCTATTTATTTATTACATAACAAACTAGTAACTATATAATAGTACTGTTTAGTGTACGTGGTGTTCCAAAAACGTCTACTGTTAATGATATATGTTTAATTGTTTAAACACTGAAATTGCATGTGAAAATCAGTGCTGAAATAGTCTCTTGTAAAAGGATTAATTAGAAAGATCCATCATCAATGATGGAAGACGGGTTTAGAATATTTTGAATATTATAATTACTATCAAAACTCTATAAGATCACAGGAACAGAAACAAAAGCGTGGATATTCCAAATGTGTTTCTCTGGAAAACCGCAAATAGAATAGTTTATGTCTGTTTTCTTATGTTGTATAAATTAATAACTTTAATAAATTTTTCTATTGATTTAAAAAGTGCTGTGTTTTTTGTGACAGTGAGGATATAAAAAACATTAAGAGGTCGTTATACTGCCATAATTTGTCTAGTATCATTATTTTCGTAATTTATATTCTGCCTCACTTTTTTGGTCCTAAACGTAATCTACAAATGTTTGTTTAACATCTTGGGAATGTAACATAATGAAATCTGCTTACTCCCTTACATATATATGGGCTTATCGACGACAAAAAAGTACTTATTAATCTACATAGATTTACTTACTGAGAATTAACGCTCTAAGCTGACAGTGGTTAAGAACAGTCTGAATTCTTCCCATACTTATAGAAACGTAAAGAACAAGTCAAAAACTATGATTTCAAGACAGATTACACTCTAGGTGAGATTTAAGTGCTTTCGCTGTCAGTGTGACAGCCCCGATGACAAACGACATCACAAAATAATTTTGTACATTCATTTTTAATATGTTTGCTGAACGACTATCTTTTAATGTTGTGTTATGACCGTCGCTAAACTGTTGACGTCATCACAAATATGAAGAAGAAGAAACATCATAAAGAGCAGTGTGTCACTGCTATGGTGGTCTGGAGCGTCTAGACGCGGCAGTTACCCAGCTTCTAAAACTTCGAATAAGCAACGTTATCTATAACGCTTCATAAATCTTTCTAAATTTCAGATATGTAAAAAATACTCCATACCACTTTACACTTTTGCTACAAAAGCAATCAGGACAGCAATAATTATTTGTATATGTATAACTTAATTGAATGTTTACTGTTGTTGAATGTTAACTGTTGTAACGCAAGCCGGAAATATGTTAAAAGGAGTGAAAAAGTTAGTTTTACTCTCTGAATTGAAACTGAATTTACCTTTTTGATAAGAAAAATAATCATCGATTTTTTTTTTAACTTTACTTCATTACTTTAGTATACGTGCACTTATTTGTTAATCCCTACAATTAGTGTTATCAATCAGAAATGTACATGTACATCTATTTGCTACATAAAAACCATCTGTCAGACTCATGAGCTCATGAATTGAATGTCAAATTAACCAAAATATACTAACAGTTTTATTCAAAATATAGATAAACCAAACTTATTCATCAACTTTTTTGTCTAGTACTGAAGTCAATAATTTAGTTTCTGATAAAAATGTGAACTAACCTTCAGTGAGGATGGTAGGTGAGCAGAGCATATAGATAACAAGTAATCCAGTGTTAAATATCTTCAATCTGAATGTAATTAGAAAAACAATAATAACATTATCTTAGAAGCTCATGAATTCATTCCTAGATACAGAAAAATGGAAAACTAAATTACTCACTATCTATGCAT